TACAGATGAGTCTATACCCTCTTATTCTGGAAGTGATATGCCAAGAAAAGACAGTAGTATGTGGTCAAAAGTAACTGAAGAAGGGACAGATCTCTCAGAACGGCTTGTGAGGAGTGGTTTTGCTGGAACTGAAATAGACCTTGAAAATGAAGAACTTATGCTGAGTATCAGCTCTCGACTACAAGCAGCAGTTGAGAAACTCTTAGAAGCTATAAGTGAAACCAGCAGTCAGGTAACCTCCTTATGTTGCTAATCTGTACTACATTTGTAGGTTTTCTTTTAAGCCAGTGAACAACTAAGTGTTTTCTCTCTATTGTCTCACAGAAATTTAGTCATGTTCCTCTTTATAAATGATTGGATTTGTAACAACCAATATTGATATCAACAGGTTTCTTTTCAGGTGGTAAGTGTTAATGTCTTGACGGACTCTTCAGGTTCTAAAATTCAGTGTTTTAATTTAAAAATTTTCTAGACCCTTACACATTACTTTTTTTTTATATCAAAAGAGATTTTAACTTTATCATTGACTGAAATATTCCATTATAATATATGTTATTTATTTGAAGGAATAATACAAGGAATATCTTAAACCATATGCTCTAGTATGTCCTAACACACTGCTATTGTAATATGATAACAAATCAAACCTACAGTCCTTCACAGAAAACATCCTTTTCATGAATGTTAATAGATTACCTCACTTTACTCTCTCTTGGTAGGGTTAGATGAGGGATACTTTCTACATCGAAGTACTGTTTTTATGGAAATTTTAAAGGGGTATAATCATTTATAACCTAAAATGCAATTTTCTCTGTCTCTAACATTTTTACACTAGTATGGTAAATGTCTCTTAAGTTACTGTATGTAGAATTTAAATAATTGTTGCTTTAAAATGAAGCAAATTCACTTATTTATTTTAAAAATGTTTAAAACAACTGTAGAATCATAGCTGTATGTTAATCAAGTGAGTACTCCATTGTCATCAGTTACAGGGCCAATATTATTAACATTTTCATTGATACCTTTATTCACAGTATCCTAAATCCATCTGTATTTCAGACAGAAGTTGAGAAGTTGAAAAAGTGTCTTTGATGTCTTGTTATTTCTAATGTCTGGCTTTCATTGATGCTACTTTTTTTCCTCTAAGAAATTATTCTGTTATGGAATCTTTTTGCAATAGCAGTGACTATTGGATTTACCATATTTGACAAATACTGTTATATATTTTGTGTTTTAATGCCAAATTCAATTACTTTTAGGTTAAGTTAGTGATTGAGTCCTCTCTTGGTTAGTGACCCTTGAAATCACTTGTTAACCACCTCCTATTAAGTTAATTTTTCATTATCCATTTTTTTTTCCTCTTGGCAACTTGCTATTGGCATTTAACATAGACGGCATTATCAAAACAGCATATATGTCCAGTGAAATATTTGTCTTCTGGATAGTCTTCAGACAACAAATTTTCCCCAGGTTCATTCTTCCTTGTAGGGAGACAGTTTAAATTCTCTTCTGTGCTAGAGTGGGGACTGTATCTTTAAGAGCACATTACCACACATTGCAATAATTCACTATCTGGCCAGCAGAATATATCACAATATACCTACTGTTAATTTTCTGAATTGTACCTTGATTGACTAGCCAAACTAAGGTATTCATATTTAGTTAAATATGTTTCAGAAATGTTTTCATAGATAAAGTGCTGTCTTTGGGCAATTCTTATTTCTCTGAAGCTTTCTTTTACAGCAGGTGCAAAATGATTGAAAGGCTTTTGCTTCAGTTACTTAAAGATTTCCTTGAGCATTGTAAAGAACTAAAAGAAGTACAGTATTTTTGAAAACTCACATCTTTGTGTATTTACTAATACACAATAGAAAGGATAACTACACAAATAATAATAGCGGTCTCATCTTTTGCTAAAACCACAGTGAGTTATTTTTCATTGCCAACATCCTAAGTGCTGGTAGGAAAGGCACCAATAAAAACCAGCTTCATTTGCGTTATTAATTTAAGACATTATACTCTTGGATCAAAGAACTTTAATGTTTACCGTATTTTTCTTCAGCCTCAGGTAGACAGCTTAAGCTCAAACATTGCAACTATGAATGCTATGTCATAATATGAAATTCCATAGCTATTATAAGAAAACATATTTTCTATAAGATTTGCTCTTTTTTCAAGTTTTTACTTTTCTAATTAACATAAGCCCTGGATTGGCTTTCTTTTAGAATGTTTACACATAAGCCACTTTAACAGTATGCTACTCTACTGAGTGAGCTGGGCCAATTCAGGCATTTTCAGCTGTTGCTTTTCAGCACTTTTAAAGTTTGAATGCATATGCATCCTAATTATCCCTTTTATTCTATGAAAGTAGTGTAAATAATTCTGTATGGAGTCTCAACATAATCCTGCCTTTTTTTTTTTTTTTTTTTGCTTATTTCAGCTACATTAGTATTTAATTTCTGTGATTTGTACTCTTTCCTACCATGAAAAAACTAGTAGTATTTTTCCTTTCTTAGCCACTATTAAATACTTTGATCTGGATCTTGAACGCTGTTAATACTGTTTGCTGCTACTTGATACCATCGTAAGTTACAGACAGTCCTAGTTAATGCAGTGTGGTTGACCTTTGAACAGTACAACTAAAGTGTGCCGCTCCATTTATATGCAGATGTTTTTCAATATATACAGTACAGTACTGTAAATGCATTTTCTCTTTATGATTTTCTTAATGCCATTTTCTTGTTTTAGCTTACTTTATTGTAAGAATACAGTATATAATACGTAATACATATAACATATAAAATATGTGTTAATCGACTGTTATGGCATCAGGCTTCTGGTCAACAGTAGGCTATTAGTAGTTAAGTTTTGGGAGAGTCAAAAGTTCTGTGGATTTTTTTTTTTTTAAAGATTTTATTTATTTATTTGACAGAGAGAGAGATAGCAAGAGCAGGAACACAAGCAGGGGGAGTGGGAGAGGGAGAAGCAGGCTTCCTGCCGAGCAGGGAGCCCAATGTGGGACTCGATCCCAGGACCCTGGGATCATGACCTGAGCCGAAGGCAGACGCTTAACTACTGAGCCACCCAGGCGCCCAGTTCTGTGGATTTTTGACTGTGCATGGAGTCAGCACCCCAACCCCTGCATTGTTCAGGGGTCAACTGTATAATATTTGTCTTCTGACAAGCACCATGGAAAATGGTAAATAAATCAGAAGTGATCCATGGTTTGACTTATTCCTGTAGGCTACTATAGAGAAATTTCCCCCAAAATCCATTAATACTGCCAACAGACAAGTGTGTGGAATCCACCTGAAACACTCATTTTCCCCAGGCCAAGATCACACCTCATCACATCTGCTTGTGTGACCAGGTTTTGAGGTACAACAGGAGCCTGACCATGGCATTTTCCAAATTATTCTCAATTTGTTAAATACTAATATAGCAATATGTTATTTAGCTTTTACTGTATTTTAAGTATCAAAGAACAGGTCACAAAAACTTTGCCTAGAGCACTAAACAGTTTTCATACTGCAGTCTCTAAACCAGCAGCATCAGCATCACTGAGGACTTGTAAATTTAAATTCTCACTCCCCACCCCAGACCTACTGAATGATGGAGCCCAGCAACCTGGGTTTAAACGGGTTCTTTAGGTGATTCTGGTACACACTGAAGTTTGAGAACCACTCATCTAGAGATTATTAGTACATGTTCACATTATTCTAGCTGAATTTTGAAGTGTTCTACCAATATCTTAGATAAAAGGTTAAAGTGGTTGTTGCCTTTTGGTATAAAAATCAGGTATATCTTAGGTGAATTGTATTTTTAAAGTAACGAGAATAGGAGTCTGTAAAACTTTCTTTTAATCCAAATTTAGTTCACCTACTACTCTTCCATGGATAGATGTTTAAAGCCATTGACTGCTTCAGAATATTCTCATTAATAACTAAAATTATCTTGAACATGATAAATATTTTTAACAGTTCATTAGATTGATACAAAACAATGTGTAATCACCTTTGTGAAATAACTTATATTCCATTTTTATTTTAATGTGTCATTATTTGGTTCTTCATAATGGTATAGTTCTCTTTTACCTTGATTTTTTTTTCACTTGTTATAAAAACTAGAACAGAACTGAGAGACACTGATATAGTCTATTTGTGCTTGCAATGACAGAGAAGTTCAGCTAAGTAGCTCTGCACAGCATACCCTGAGACTAGGAAAGAGAGTAGCATCTCATACTTTGGAGTCAGGTGGGCCCAAGTAAAGCTTATTGGAAGACTTGATGCTTGAGATGAATCATTCATTCATCATATTTATTGAGCACCTACTGTATAATAATTGCTATTTTACATACCAGAAGTACAGCATTGAACAAAATAGACAAAATCCTTGCTCTTGTAGAGACCAACAATATGTAAACATACAGTATGTCAGGTGGTGATTATCTGCTGGGAAGAAAAATAAAATGGAGATAGAGCATAATGGGAGAAGGGGACATGTTTATAGGAAAATCAAGGAAGACCCCTCTGATGAAGTAATATTCAAGCATATTTCTTGAGGAAGATTAGGAGAGACAGTCATATAAGTAAGTAGGGGAAGAATGTTTTAGACAAAGGACTAACAAGTGTGAAGGCCCTGAGGTGGTCGAGTGCTTGTTCTTTGTGTGGCTGAGAAAGAGGCCAGTGTGGCTGGAGCAAGGAGAGTGAGGAAAGTGGGAGATGAGGTCAAAGTGCTACCTGGAAACCAGATCACATGGAACTTGGGATTTAATTCCTAATGAGAAATGGAGCCATTGTGTACAACTTTTTAACTTTTTATTTTGAAATAATTTTAGAGAAAAGTTGTAAAATAGTCCAGAGTTTCACTCAACTTCCCCTAATGTTAACAGCTTGCATAATTGTATTATAATTATCAAAACTTGGAAAGTAAAACTGATACAATACTATAAACTGAAGTATAGACCCTTTGGATTTCACCATTTTTTCCCACTAAGGTCCTTTTCCTGTTCTAGGGTCCCATGTTGCCTTTAGTTGTCATGTTTTTGTCAGCTCTCTTCTCCTCTTCATTTAGTACCTGAGTCTTTGTCTTTTATGACCTTGACACTTGAAAAGGAGTGGCTAGTTATTTTATAGAGTGCCCCACCATTTGGATTTGTCTGATATTTTTTCATGATTACAGGAAGCTTATGTGTTTTTGACAAGAATACCACAAAAGTGATGTGCCCTTCTC